CTTGTTATTTGCGTGACCCGGTTAGCGACTACGTTATGTTGTACACATGCAACTCTGAGTACTTGAAAAAAAGCTTGAAAAGCTCGAGGAATTCAACGGTAGCGATTTTTTTTGCACGACAGTGACCAATAACCCTATTACCTATGGTTCCATCACCTGATAAAACCGATCCACCGCCAAACGTTAACAGGTCGACATTTCGCTCGGTCTATTTTTCGAGCTGCTGCTGCTTCAAATCGTGATGCAGGTGAAAATTTATGTGCATACCTACGCTAGATCTTCTCTCTTTGTGTCTCATCCACCATTGAGCTCACGGCGACGGCGTGCCAAACATTTTTTTCCCTCCGAAATATCTAGCTGATGTCTAGAGCATCTTTCTCCGTCTTTCACCTCTGTAAAGCTTTTTAAGCGAGTTTTTTTGTCTCTTTTCAGTTGGCTCGGCCATTCATTTTGTTGGAGAGTTCGTGACGCGTGACTTTGCTCGAGATCGCTCGATGATCGTGACTGTGAACAGCGTGTTTCAAAAATATTTCTGAAAAACTGTACTGCCGGAGTTAAGCTTACCAAGACCAACACGCTCCAAGAGCATTTTTCAAAGCTTTTTCTTGGATTTTCAATTGACACTGGACAAGAGCTTTTAAGTTTGGTTTGGGGAGCTTTATCTCCAAACACCGTTTTCCAGAAACATTTCCGTACGTACCCATAAGTGTGTGTATGAAAAAACACTGTTCAAGATTATACAAACTCATCGATGAGTCTCGCTCTTTGAATACTTAAAATCGCACTGTATGCAACTTTTGAGAGGTTTCAGAGAAAACATACACATCGAAGTTCAATATGGAAAAATGTACAACACTGATGATCAAAACTCATTTGGTCGTCTTGTTCTGTATGTTTCGAAAACAAGGTTGTAAACGCAAGGTCGGGAAAACGACGAAAAAGTAATTCTTCGCGAACGTGTCCCTAAACAACCAACGGCACCGAACGAGAGATCCAGAGATAGTGTCCTTATAATACCTATACCTATATATATCCGTGTACATATAATATGCGGGTCGGTGTGGTGCTCGCGTTGGGTCGATGTTGGGTATACCTGTACACGTATACATATATAAACGCACGTACAGGATACAATCCTCTCCCGCAGTCGGGCAGAATCAGTCTCTCAACCTCCCTGGTGTGTATGTATATATAAGTACCACACCGAGCTCCTCCTCTATATATATTCTCTGTTCCCTGTGGGTTTATAACAACGTGCAACACACACATGTATGTATATATTATGCTTCAGGTATAGGTGGAGGGTAGCTGCACGCATGGGTACGTGTGTATGCTCATGGTTTAGCTGTTGCAGCCACTGCACAACAGCTCGCTTCCTTCCTTCCTTCCTTCCTCTCTGCCTTCGGCCTATATCACCGCTGGCTGCTCTAATTCCTAATCGTTATGCAGTGTATCTAACGAACCCCACTTGGCTCGTGAATTCGTCCTGTGCATTGTAGACTATTTTACTGTAAAATGTCTTTTTAGCTGAGCCGAACCAGCTACATATGTTTGCTTTTCATAACAATTTTGTCACAGTTAAAAAACCATTGCTATGAATTACACATATTTAATCTGGGAGGCTGAGCCGCCGCAGTATTTCACCCGGATTCAAGGATGCTTTTTTTCCACCCTCTCGGCCTTTTTTCGGGTGGTTATTTTTATTCCACCGTCGAGCAGATGGTATTTTTTATTGTCGCGTTGCGGATATACGCGCAAGGGATTCTGGGAGAATGGCTCTCGTGTCATTTGAGAGAACTAGGAGGACTTCCAAGTTCGACTTCGAGACTTTTTTTTTATCACTTGCTGGCATAAAAGGATTGTCTTTATGGTTGGATTATTTTTTCATCGAAAAAAAGATGCACGAGCGGGTCACCGATTTTTTTCTTGGGTTCCATCGGTTCTACTTACCTGTACATATACTAGATGCATATGACGAAAGGTATAGTTTCACCGCTCGGTACTGGGTAGCTCATGTAGGCCATGGATATTTACAAGTATAATGCCCCGTAACGGTATGCGTGCAATACACTCTCGTTAACTGCTAATAATAGGAGTAATTGTTTTTTTTTTTTTTTTTTTTTTTTCATTATTATTATCATTATTGTTATTTACCTTCAATGAATTTTCACGTTCCTAATTGCGCAAGAAACAATTTCTACCTTAACGGCGTCGGGTGTGTATACGCGCGAGCTTTACGCAACGAATTAATTATCTTTGTTTGTTTGTTTTTTACAAGAGTTCACGGAAGTTTATAAGAGTATACGCGAGCCACCATCCCTCCCCCCTTTTTCTGCAAAGGCCTGCGATAGCAGCTTATAATTAGGAATCTTTAATTAAAACACTTTACATAATAATTATACGCAAGAAACCGCGTATAGCCAATATAAGAGGCGTCTCGCACAAAGTGTGAAAATAAATGAATCAACTATAGGATGGAGTGTAGGTATATTTTTCGAAGAATACGAAATAAGATGGGTTGCGTCGTTTTATTTTCCACGACATCTTGTCGATCGAAAAATATTCCTGTACCTACAATTCATCGCAAGATAGCGAGAGGGTAGCAAAAAAAAAAAAAAAAAATTCACAATATATCTTCAGCGTTTGAGGAGCGCAATTTAATTTTCGCACTTAAAATCATCGGGGCTGGATGACAATATTACCATAAACCACACTTATCCTCCCAGCGTAACCTGTTTGATGAAACAGGCCCCAATCATCACCGATCGAATCTCCATACGAGTCTCCCCAACAATAAGAAATTCACCAGCGTCATCCGCATCTCATCTAGACTTTTTCTGTATAGGCACCTGTATACCGTGCAGTTATGAATAAACGAGGGGTTGGGAGAGGGGGCGGTAATTAATGGAAATAAACGTTCCAGTGAATGAAGCTGATGATGACGAGGAAGAGACCGGAGGGCGGGGAGGTAAAGGGACCTTCCTCGGTCGTCACGGCCAACGCTCCAAGGAAGCGGAAACGGAAGCAACGTCGCGACCGCCAAGCGTGTGCGCTGCAAAGCTGCGGGCTCTCGATCTCGCCTACCTATGTGTCAAAAATCCAGATGGTTTTTATACGTAAAACTACTACTGTTAACCTGTAACTATACTTGCGTGTAGGGCCCACTTTTTCGCTCTCAAACAGGCAAATCGAGATGTCAGCTTCGATGCGCTGCTCGATAATTTTTCCAAGACATTCAATATCTTAAGGTTCTTCGTAACTTTAGGTGCATGAATGTTTTTTTTAAAATGTTTTTGATGCACGAGTTCAAGTGCAATTGTGACCCTCTTAGTTTTGATACATCCATATTTCGTTAATATACACGCGTGCATAGATACCTCGATTCTATCCCCGTATATGCGGAGTTAGAGTACATCAAATGAGTGTACCAAACAACAGTTTAGCCGATAGTTTCCATACGATCGAGAGCGACGCGTCGCACATCGGGAGTTTGAACGTTGTTTGTATAGCTCGATCAGTTTGAAAGATGAACTTTACCACTCCGATGTGTTATATATTATACCTGTATACGTGCACGTGTTTGCCCATATACATACATAAATCGTGGCGGGGAAAAGCATTTCCCAAACCTGTCGATATCAAAAGCGATATCGAAAATACGACTGATCAGAGTCGAAAGTTACCCGCTCGCTATAGGCGTCAGGGAGATCAAAAAGTTTTGATCGCATTGGGTGGAGGAAAGCGTGTATTTATAATTTTACGAGTCAAGATGTGAGTCCCAAGCTCGTCCAAATCTATATAGATGTTCATTAAAAACGAGCCATATCCACCTCAAGAAATGTAAAGTCTAAGACTTTACAAAGTTGTTCCATATGTTGGCTGGATGAGTCATTTGAAATAAATATTTGTATCATTTACAAAAAATTAATTACAAAAATAAGTATAACAAATAATGGTATGGCATATCGTTTTTGCATCGGTCTTTTTAGACTCGTCGTGATTGATGAAAAAATTCACTTGCGCCATGGGCTCCGTGACATCATTTTTCTGTTCAGTTAGAAACACATGAGAAAGAAACTATAGACATGCAGAAGCGGACCATCATACCTTATAAGAGCCTATTTCAGTCAATTCTACAAGTAAATTTAGATACTGGCCGAAAAATATAATTTAACGTTTACATGATTTATTTCTCCCCTCTCTTTTATCTACCGGAATCAGAAAGCTGATTTTCTCTTTACCATTTTTTTATTCATTCGCGAATCCATTCTATACACTTCATCACATAGTTTCTTTTATGGATTGTCGCTTCGCACCACCCCCGGGCGAAACCACAAAAATAGGGTACAAGGGATGAAACCCCGTGGTAAACAACACCTCGTACTCCTCGTACACTTTTTCAAACATTCACACAACAGGGCACGTGCCACACGAGTGTCGATCTTTCATCCCCCTCGGCATCGAGCGGCACCACCGCACTAGAAATTCCTCCACCATCCCCCCGCGCGCGCACACCGCAAAAACGAGTAGATCCATCGCACACCACCGCGTATTTACACTCGCACTAACTTTTCTACTCTTGCCTTGTTAATGTGCCTACTCAATGTTGCACGGAGGATTAATTATTAGTTTGTAAACAATTGAAGCACATACCGATGTACACGTGGTTAATGATTTCGGGTCATCGTCATATATCCAAGCTCTCCTATGTAGGGGTTGTGCGTGGGCGAAGAGGAGGAAAAAAGGGAGGCACAACAACAGCATTGTCTGCACAGATAGTATACATAATGTATATATACATCGAGGGAAGCAGATGTTGTGTATACATGTGAAACGCGCCGGCATCAGAGCGCGTGCGCCCTCTCTCTCTCTCTCTCTCGTCCCTCCTCTTCTTTTCCTTCTCTCCTGTATATAGAGAGCAGCGAGCAACGGCGCGCGGACTGCGTTATACTCGGCAAACCAGCCGGAGTTTCGTTTAGTTCGCCCTCCGTCACCGGCGTCGTACTACGCGTACACGGTGTGTGCACATATGCAGTGCTTCATACGGTACCTTTGACACATCCATACGAGTGCTTCATACCAACTGCACGCGATATTTGAATTTTTCTTGCGCCCTGTCATCCACCGTGAGATTGGGGGTGGTGCCAGCTTTGTGGGTTTAAATTGTTTTGCTTGGCACTGCCATTCGACATCGGAAGAAAGTCGATTGCGCTTTGTCGTTTCGTTAGTGCAGTGAAGAGTATACGTACAGATGTACAAATAAGTAAGAAAACAACCAAACGGAGCAGTCGGAGTTATCGTGAGTGAATGACGAAGCCCACCACCCGCATGAATATAAATATACACGATTACACACACACATTAATGTACGCCCACGCGGGGTTTCGTTGATCCTTTGCTTGGCTATTGGGTTGCACGCGCGCGAGCGCTTGCACCCCCATTGGTATGTCTTTTCTTCGACGAAAAGAGAAAGACTCGCTCTTTCGTCGCTCGAAGCATTGTTTTTTCATTTTAAATGCTCGATGAATAAGCTCCGAGCTTGACATAAAAATTCATTGTTCTCCAAGAAGAACTAGTTTTTCGCGATCGTTAAACATAGCCACAACCCTGTGAGCTCTCATCCCTCTACTTGTTATTTTTTTTTACGGTACGCTTGAATCACTTTGTTAAAAATGCTATAGGAAAAGAGCAGTATCTCTTGTGGTGTACACAATAAACACGGTGTGCTCGTAATCGCGTCTTCCAAAGCGTGAGCACATCGATGCTCGACTTCAAATACTTACTTACCCGCACACCATAGCAGTGTATATACAAGTATATAATGTAGGAAGAGACAAAAGGATCGAGCGAGACCACGCGTGTTATGTACGCAAACATCCAGATAATAAATACCTGAGCAAGGGTCCCTTTTGCATTCTTTGCGGTTGAGATCACGTATACGGTGTTTGTACCCCGTAATGTGCTTCGGCAGCAGTTTATCCGAAGCCGAGCTGCGAAAATAGAAAAGTACATCTCCGATATACTTACCTCTGGGGCCTCGTTTTCCACTCCGGTCTTATCTTGGCCTCTTATTATGACTCTCGGCTACATCTGCCCAATAAATACCAACTATACTATAATAGTACACATGCGCAGGGAAGGAAAAACATCGATTCTTAAGTATAGCCTCGCGTACACAGTGCACGTGTAATCGTCTGATTAAAATTGTGTGGGAGTGGATGGGTTTTTTTTTTTTTTTTTTAATTCAACAAAAGTCAAATGGTGCCTTCCAGCCAGAATGTAGTACACGTCCCTTTTTTTATTCCCTCTACACATTAAAAAGATTCTAAAAACAAAAACAAAAAATACATAGGTCCCGGTAAATGATGTGGCAAAAGTCTAATGACGCAATGCTCGCCGATTAATTCGAACCGATAGCGCTTCCCCAGCCCCCTTCGACCTACCCCATTTCAACTCTTTTCTCCCGATAAAGCACAGCCAAGAGAGAGAAAAAAAAAAAGGTGTACACCTGTAGGCATCGATTTTCCTCCACATTTAAGTGCAATATACTTGCTCTACTTTGCGTACGCATGAAAAATAATAACACAATTGATGTCCCGCTCTTTAAATTTAATAACCGGGCAGGACACCAAGGACGTCAACTATGCATTACATTATAACAACAGCATAAAAAAACAACATTGTATATGCACGCATGCATCTACGTGCCTACAGTGTTTCAAGTTTCATTGGCCCTCGAAGCTTTTAAGCGGCTGAAAACTTGGCGAGTCTCCCCTTAGAACTCTTGCGGGGGAAACATGGCCTCGGGGCTAAAACCGAGTTCACGAGGTATACGCTCGCAGCCGACACGGAAGAGAGGGAGGGAGGAATATTGAATTACGCTTGATATAACGAAGGCGATAAATTGTCAATGCTATCACCTCGGTTTAATTGAGCGTAAAGCTTCAATTCACGCTCCAGCCTCGGTCGTGATCATGTGTGGTGACGATGGTGGTTTGATGTTCCCATTGGGAAGGAAATGATGTTTCGATCAAAAATTTCATTTAGGCCTATAAGCTGCTCTGGACTTGCGTGATTGAGCTTTGTTGGTTGATTTTTGAGATGAATTGTACTCATGTACCCATACTGATTTGATTCTTATACGTATTGTCTCTCAAGTAGATACTTTTTTTCTTTTTTCTTTTTTTTTTTTTTTTTTTTTTTTTTTTTTTTTTTTTTTTGATCAAACGTGTGCCCAAATATTTGAATAGCGAAATCGTGTGCTGTGTATACACGTTCATTTGCGCCTAACGGAAGGACAAGCGATCGATTTACACGCGTGACCTATCAAGCATATTCTAGGCTCGTATTTGTAGGCCCTCCTTTGGGTTTTCCTGCGTGTGCGTAATTACAGCGTTGCTGCTACTCCCTGGTTTTTTCCGTCAGTGGGCCGAAAGTTCGCTCCCGTGCCCTCGCGCCCCGACCTTGAGCCATCGATTTTTCTTTTCGAGGTATTCACAACGCGCATCGGCGATCCTTCCGACCATCTGGAGTTAAAATTATGCTGCTCCCCCCCCCCCCTGATCGACCGACCATTCGAATGAAAGTTTTTCTCGTGCGTGATAATGGTATCCAAAGTCCGAGCACATAAATTGACATGAAGTAATAACTAAAAGTTACAACAACAATTGTTTATCCACAACTAATCTTTCGTGCGGCTCATGTATACCCTTCTCCTTGAGTGTAACGATGCACAATACATGCAATACATCCACGCAGACCAGTGCAAAGGGATACGATGGTATATATGTCTGTTTTTGCATTGCATTTCAATTAATTAGAATAATTAGAAGGAACGCGTACGCACGTCCGTGTGCGAGAGATTAACTGGCATGGTTCGAAGCGATGGGGGATGTAGCCGTAATGTTAATCTGAAAAATTAATAGGCAAGAAAGAAAACACTACTTGGTGTACACGTACGGCTGTAATCCATGTATCAAATCGCGCATTACGCGTGTTGGAAAATGCTGATCCACGTGTGTACACACGCGCGGTTGGGGTGAAATGTAGGTCGGGAGGAGAAACTAGTTATTGGTGCAAATATCATCCCGCGACGACGACGGGCTTTTATCATTTACCTTAGCACTCGTGTGTGTATCAAAACGCGCTCTATTTGCGTAAGTCATGTTTTCACGAGGTCTTGGATGAGCTCCAGGAATGTTATATTTTCCCCTTCCTCCCTTGGTCGGGTCTGCCGCGTCACTTTTCTTTCTTACCATTTTTCCTGACGCGTGACATTTTAATCACACGCTCTCGTACGCGCACGAGGCAGTTTATATGGGTATGCATGTATTGAATGTGAAATTTTTGAAATACGCGGTTTCACAGTGAAATGATACGATCGAAAGGCCGCTTTACACGCTTCGAAGAGTCGAGAGAGGGGAAAACGAAAATTAGGAAAAAAAAAAAAAAAAAAAAAAAAAAAAAAATGAATTTTTCGCTTCGAAACGCCCACGCGATTTTAACTTTCTAAAGGAAAATGCCGCCACTGGAAACCTCCGGTTGTGTAGGTACTTATAGTTTCCGAACTCGAGCACGCGACCAATCACAATTAAAAAGTTTCGCGCTATGGGTATACTTACTCGATTTAGTAGTAGCAGCCCCAAACTTTCTATACGTAAGCTATATATATACGCCTTTTACGTAACCATCATCAACACTAACTCACACGCACTTTCGTATCCGTTCCACATTTCATTTTTTTTTCGGAAAAACTAAAAAATAAACCGAGGCGTAAAATGTGTACGCGTACACGATGAGAAAAATAGCGGGAAATCGACTTCCCATGATGCAGTGGCTGCAGCAGCATACAGTCACTTCCTTATTTGATAGATTCGCGCACGGTATAGGCGCCTGACTTGGACGAAAGCAAGGAAAAAAGCCAACATCCGATCGCCACGCGGTTGCAGAGAAAAAAAAAAAACCACGCGTTTCCCTCCATCAACTGCAATGCATGGCATGAACTTGAGAGTTTTCTCTCGTTTCCGGCATTTCGATTCCCTCCCGTGCATGCTCACCCAATTGCCTCGCGGTATGGTGAACGTATGCATTATTTTTCATGCTCTCCACGTGTGATTTAATGGAAATTAAGGTCGCCTGTTGTGGAGAAAACTTTACCTCCGCGCTGTTGCATTCCCGTGTACGCTCCGATGGAGTAATTTACGCGTCGGTAATAGGATTTTTCAAATTTTAACGCGTTGACCTTTTTTTCTTCGTTCTAATCATTCCATGAGTTTTCACGCGAGGGAATTCGATGAAATTTTTCAAAGTGTATTGGGCTCCAAAGCGCGGTCGAAGATTAGCAATATCAAGTGCGGCTGATTGAGTGCAAGGCTTCGAGAGATGCATAAATCAATAACACGTATAGGCACGCGTGCACGACACTCACGCTCGGTCGATTCGAATTTAATTTACTCGCGGTATGGGACGTATTGCGGTGCTATACTGTTCCCGACAACTTTTTAATGCATACGAAATCAGAAGCGTGCTTTAAAATTTGATCGAATTTTTCATAGCTCAATTTCAAAATCGTTATTAAATTTCAACTCTCACCGCGCGGGTGATAGGTACCATAACCAGTTGGGAGAGGAGTTATTCATAACATTAAGCACTTTCTTTTGTGGCAATGGAATGAGAGTGTTTTGGGTGTTTATCTAGTTCGGAGGTCTTTAAATTTCCTCGTAAATTCTGCTCGTCGTAAAATCTTCTCTTTTTGCGGGTATACATACGTATATACGTATACGCAGCGTGCGCTGCATTTAACACATCTGGTAATAACGAGGTGTGCGTTTCGGTGCTAAACGAAGTCTTTGGCTCGCTCGCCTTGCGAAAGATTCACACCTCTTTTTACTTGCGTGTTTTTTTACCTCCGCACAGAGTAAAAAGAAAAAAAAAATTTACCTTTCGGCACGATAAAATAAATCTATATTTCATGATTGTCTCTCGTGCTTCGATCACGTGCAACACTTTCTACACAAATTCAGAGACGAATGAATACTAATGATGTAACATAAGCGAGTGAAGCTGTAAAATGTAAATTTTCCATTTCTGGGGAGGAGAAAGGGAGCTCTAGCTTCGTAAGAATTGCGTAAATTGCAGTTTGGAAGAGCCTAGTGTGTAGTGAAAGAAAGAAGAGTTAGATAGTTACATATACGTTTGGCAAACGCGAAAGGACTGCAAGTCCAGTTATTTTGATCAAAGGGCTTTTGCATGGAAAATTCTTTCCTATACGAAAGTACGAGAGAACGAATGGATTACGTT